ATTGTGACAGGTCATGTCTGACCTGCTCAGGCCACGAGCCCTCATCGTGCCTCAGTTGCCATACCAACAGGCGTAAAGATGCCAGTGGACACTGCGTGTGGTTCATTCAGTGTCCTTTGCGCTCATACATGGACCATAATGGGCAGTGCCAACAGTGTCACAAACTCTGTCATCGCTGTTCTGGACCAGGCAAAGACCACTGCCTCAACTGCAACGAGCCACACTACCTACTGAGTAAGTTATAGCAATTGTAAATGATATGCTTTTTATCCAGCCAATGTAAACTTCTCGTTTTTAAAAGAAAATGAAACTTTGTGTCCATTAGACAACACATGTGTGCAGGAGTGTCCTGCGAGTTACTATGCAGAGGACAAAGACGAACGTGTGTGTGAGCGCTGTCACTTCAGCTGTAAGTCATGCGTTGGTCGTCACAGTTTGCAGTGTGTCAACTGTAAATCTGGATTCTTCAAGCAGGGAAGCAGCTGCGTCGAAACCTGTTCAGAGAGGTTAAAAGAACATACAGACACGCAAAATGAAATCTTCTTTTTCATCAAAGAACATCACAAACTAAACTGATATCCTCTCTCCTTTGTCAGTCACTTTGGCAACACCACCACCATGGTTTGTGACCGATGTGACCCCTCTTGTAGCCAGTGTTGGGGTCTTGGTAACAGAAACTGTCTGAGCTGTCGGGAGGGCTACGTCTACCTGAGGCAGTGGGGACAGTGCCTGCCGAGCTGCCCTCCAAGCTTCTTCCAACGCAGCCGGTCCAATAACTGCCACAAGTGTCACCCCACCTGCAAAACCTGCAGTGGTAAAGGAAGCCTGTCATGGCTTATATCTGCCATGTGTTGTTTTTTTGGTGGGGGACTGTGTTTTGGAGTGACTTCCTATAATTGAGCATGAATAATGCCACCGTTTCCAAGACCTCTAGACTACTATTTTCATAGTCACCACCCAACCCCCTCCCACCAAGCTAGGACATACTTCTGCTGCACCTTTTGATACGAATTTAATCTGTAAATTCCAGTTCAGCCATGTGATGACATTTGACAATATTTCTCTCCTTCCAGATGGGGGCGCTCTGGCCTGTCAGTCCTGTTATGAAGGCTACAAGTTTATGGGAGGCATCTGTCAATCCCAATGTCTTGTAGGCTATTACGCTGCTTCAAAGGTGAGAAACCTTGTGTGTTCCTGAATTTACAAATTGTGCTTTTGTTTATAATCAAACTCACATTGCTCTCGGGAACAATGAATAATATATTAGACCTTTAGCCGCAGTTTATCAAGGCTGCTTTGTAAGTCCTGGAGCAGTAGTTGAAGATAAAATGTGGCATTCTGTCTGCAGTGTAACAAATGCTTCTGTTGCTTTAGGGCTCTGAGTCTGAAAGTGATAAGCCAAACTGCAAGGCATGTGACCCGTCCTGCATTGACTGCCGGGGTCCCAGCATGTGGAGCTGCACAGTGTGCCCCGCACTCCAGATCTTGTCTGATGGCCGCTGCTTGTCCTGCTGTGGATATGAGACACGCAATGATCACCAACCAATACCATGGCAGTGCTGTGACTGCAAGGCCTCACGAGGTAAACCAGAACCCACACTGGAACCGTCTTTTAATAAGACACGCATGTGCTCCTTGAAAATAGTGCTTTACTTGTGTGTGAGTCATCCGTTTCAGGGCATATTATTTGCTATGGTTGCCACACTGTGTAATTGCTCTAATTGATCCCACTATATAGACATGAGTTTCATTTTCCTGCCAAACATAGTTTCCAGCACTTTTAATTGATGGAAATATGTTGATTTCACAAAGAATGTTCCAAGCTTTCATGGCCTTTGGCCATCACAGACAAGACAGCATTCAACTAAAACAAAAGTCTTGTATAACACACTCATGCCAGACAAACCCAGTATACAGATTGCATATTTTAAGTAACCTAATGGCGTGCTCCATCTCCTTCTTCTCAGAGGAGTGCAACCTGGGTGTCAATTTTGTGATGAAAGATGCCGAGGACTCAGAGGCTCAAGGTAGCACCGCCAAACTCTTTGTCACTGCCTGTGTTCTGCTCATCCTCTCTGTGGGCACTGGGATCTTCCTCTTCCTCAATGCTCGATCTAAATCCCTTGCCATCGCACCCAAAACCAAAGCGGGAGGCTATGTCAACCTGGCCACCAATGTAGGCATTGCCTCACAACCCACCACCTCTTCGTTTGGGGAATACAGCGACCGAATCGTTGAATGTGAGGATAATGAGGAAGACGATGATGACGAAGATATTGTGTACATGGGACAAGATGGAACAGTGTATCGGAAGTTCAGGTACGGACTCTTGGATGAGGACGAGATTGAACTGGAGTACGATGACGAGAGCTACTCATACGGTTGAAAAGAAAGCCCTGAGTGGAGAGAAGCAACTCTGCCTTACGTATCATTGGAGTCCAAACATGTTGTGAAAGTTGTTTCTCACCATTCCTCAGATACGTAATGTTCATTTCATTCTTTTTTTGAAAAGTTGGATCTCTTCAGATCATGTTGGCACAATCAGCAGGTGGAGCAGTCATTGGTCAAGGAGGGTGACAATTTCACAGCAATGTTTTTCAATGATATTACATTTCAAAGACATTTTAGTCATACCAGCCAGTTACCAATCAATATGCTAATATGTTATGACATTTATGATGGCTGCAACTGGAATTTTAGAGAAGTCATCGTGACCGTTGTCTGAAACGTCAAACAAAATATGACTACTGGGTCAAATAGGATGTAGACTTACTAACATCCATACGTTTGTTGGATTATGCAACCTATTCCTTTGCGTGGGATAGAGTTTGATTTCTTCTTTTAGTCACAAACCTCTGGGGAAGTTGTACATGTGCTGACAATCATATTCATTTTCATGTGTTTGTTTACATTTTCTAGAATAATTTTTATCATAAAATGATATGGTAGTCATTGTCCACTTATATTGAGACAAATCTTAATAAAGTATACATTCATGTTTGTTAAAATTTGCAGAGTTAGATTTTTATTCTTGGTTTTTCAACACAGTGACACATTAAAAACTACATTTAATTGCAAATTGTATTCTGTTATTACAACCCAGTTAACTCCACATTTGGACAGAATGCTAATGTGATATACTTTCTCTGTTTCTGCATCATCTGGTAAATAAAGCTCAAATGAATCGGTTGTAACATTACTCTCAGTAGTTTCTGTGTTTAAATTGTAAACTGGACTTTGTATCGCCTTGCAGGAGTGCAGGAATTCAAAGCAAACTTTACACTGAAGTACAATCTGTACCTTGTGGGGTACTGTTTGGATCGGTTTGAGTTAGTTTACACAGAGAAAGATATTTTCTCACTGGTTTAGTCTGGTTTAAGCCACAGTGAAATGCTGGCATCTGCCTGTCTGTGCGTGTGTCCAGAATACTACTCAAAACATGGCAAAACGTTGCAGGAAAGGTAATTTTGCAGGAAATTGTTCTTTTAGATTTCCTACAGTTAGGTTTTTGTATTTGCCTTTTATTGCTGTCTCACTGGGACAAAGAGAGGTCTGCGTAAATAATTAAGATCAGTCTCTGTACTTGGTTGGGGTTAAATTTGCTGTAGATCATTGTTTCATAATAAAGTTGGACTGTGCACTTTTGGTGAACATTTGTGTTGTGAATTAACCTGCTGAGGCAAAGAGGTGAGTTGAGGTGAGTGATAATTGCTAACACCTGGAGAGACAAGACAGACACATTGAAGTGAGGAGTGGTATGACTTACACATAAACCAAATCTACAATACCAGTCAAGCAAGCATTTTCATTCTCATCTTTTTAAAATCATAGCAGGCTTTGTGGGCAATAACCAAAAGCAGGTTTGTTTCTCTCTTACCTTTTGGCCCCTGTGATATTTGATCATATTTGCCCCTCTGTTGGACATTAACTTTCCTCTCTGTCTCTTCAACGCACACACACTTCACACACAAACCCTGAACAAATGTCATCTCCTTTTGGGACATTTGGACTATTGACACTGTAGTATCTGATAATTGTGGACTATGTCAGAATGAGTAATGGGACATTGCAATTCTTTGTTTTGATGAGATGGGTTTCTTTTGAAATGTGAATGATCTAAAGTGTGTATGGAAATGGTTTTGAGATGGAAACAATTTGTTAAACAATTAGATTTATTTCTTTTGGCCCTGAATTTTGGATGAAAAGTTTTTGAAAGAGAATGAAATAAGATCTGCTCAAAACTACTTTGGGTCTGGTTATTATCTTTCTTATGCGGTTATTAAATCCAGCTACAACTTAACAAATAGACAAAACATTAACTCAAGGACATCTGACACTGTCCTTCACATGGTGTGCTTGACATTGACGTTGGCTTTTTCTTCCTGAGCCTTAACATGTACTCACTTCTTGCTATGACGTGTATCTACAGTCACATAGCCGGTGGGACTGTTTACTTTTCATTTCAAAAGTGTGTGTTTGTGTGCGTGTATGATGACACAGTAGTCTCAACGGGGAAACAGGAAAGAATTTCAGTTCTGAGATTTTTGTTTTAATTACATAATTTTAAAAAAACTATTGAAAAATAACTATTATCTGTACATATTTTCTGACCCTATTAGGACAATAACAATATTCACGCAGGTATCAGCCAATGATGTCTGAATCACAAAGAGATCCCTCGACTGCCAACAAACAAAATGTAAAAGGCCAGCCATGTGAAGACCGCTCAATATTTGAATCTGTTTCATGCTCTACGTATGTAGAATACCTTATATTTCCATTACATCTTGCCCGACATTGTGTAAACAACAAAATGAACAAAGAAATGTATTTTGATCAAACAATTTATTTGATTAAATCATAGATGGACATAGATATAAGAGGTGCTCTCCGTGCAGTAACCCTGGTCCCTGTGTAAACTAGAATACATAATTGCAACACATTTTCGACCCTACTGTAGCGGTAAGTGTCAACAGGTTTGAAGAAGCAAGACATCACAATTCAAAGATACTTTCAATTTTATTTTGTACATTTAAGTGCTTTAGAGGATGAATATAATGGATATTGTAGCATTCAGCATGAAAGGAAATCTTTTTACAGCAGTGAATTTGTCAACATGATTACAGTGAAGTACTGCTACGTGTATTATATTCTTTCATTCATTTCCCTGTAAGTTAAAAAGCAAACTGCTGAAAAGGGAAACCTACAAAGACTAACCGACTGAGAATAGAAAGGTAGCTGGAAAAACTTCTTTGGAGATGAAAATAGATACTGTTGCAAGACTGCAGTCATATATTTTACTCCCTTAACACTTAACTTAAAATACAAAATCACATAGCTAGACTCATCTTTTCATTTATTAAAAACAATTATTTACAGGGGTTCAAAGAATTTAACATACTTGTGTTCGGTGTCATTTTCTTTGTAAAACCTAGAGGTGCTGGCACACACGCAAACACACACAGAACTGTAAAGCACTAACATGTTTTGAAAAAAAAAGTTAAAATGTTGAAAGACCGCAAGAACGTAAAAGGAAGCTAATGAATAAAGATAAAGCATTTAATGCAAATTGTAGGTAAATCGACATGAACCTCTCAAGTATTTATGGTAGAAATCAGAGCTCATACACGGCTGACTTTCAACGTAACGGACGTGCATAACATGCTTATCCAGCCTGCATTCCTTGACTCATCTATAATTGCTTTTATCTGCCGATAATGGAAATATATTTTGTGTCAAGAGAGTACCACTCAAACCCAGAGGGCAAATGCGTTGAAAATATTTGAAAAGTCTATCCTTAAAAACAATCATTCCATAAATAACCATTCTGTAATGGTTAATACTTCCTATGAGATTTTCATTTCTGCATAAGCATTAAAAAACCCTAAATTAAATCTCTAGTCCAATTGAATAAAGTCATCCGTTTGAGAGCAGTGATAAACAGTAGAGGGCTTGTGTCTCACTAGAAGAGAAAGACATTTTGATGAGGAAAATGAGACGACAAAGCCAGAATACTTTAACACCGTTACATTAATAATTTAATCTCCCTGTCGTCACACACGCCTTGCATTTAGCTACATATTCATCTAACAGTGCGACCAGTGTTTTTGTTACAGATAAGAATGCCCAGACTCTCTAACCATCTGACACAGACGTCAACAGTAAAAGACATGAGCATCTTTCTTTCAACCTTGGCTAAAGAGTGTTCACAGAGTTGAGTTTATGGACCATTTGTGTTTTCCATTATATACAGAGTCAATCTGCTGTGGATATATACAAATGAACATCTATTAAGTGAATGGATGGCTGAAGCAAAGCAATACAGGAAGTTACACAGTTGAGACAAAAAGGAAGTAAAAGAAAAAGGATTGGTTGTTTTAGATTACGTCCGTGTGTAGCCATAACGACAGTTAAGAGATCTCAGAATGAAGCTGTGCATTTTAATGAACGCATACACCTGTGTGTGTGTGTGTATAGAAACATCTGTGTTGTTCTGGTGTGTGTGTATGTGTGTGTGAACAAAGTGCTGCAGTCACAGCCAGCTGTCAGTGACCATTCATAATAGTCTGTGATGTGGATGCGCTGGTGGGGGGCAGGGCTGAGGACGGGCTGGGAGCGCTGGTGAAGAAGTTGTCGTCTCTCAGTTTGAGATGCTCTGGCACCTCCAGCTGGGCCTTGGCCTCCTCAATATCGTTATTTATGGCTGCAATGAGCGCTTCTGCTGGGAACAGAAATGAGAGTTAAAAACGGAGGAAAAAAAAAAAAAAAAAAAGAAGTCCGGTGTAAAGAGAAGAACAACAAGTGAAGAGGAAGGGGGGGGGGGGGGGGGGGGGG